TTCTCAACGTGGTAACTGAGTCACTGAAAACCAATGTCAGAGTGTGTGTCTCTCTCTCTCCCTCTCTCTCTTCTCCGTGATCTGAGACCACTGGGGCCTCCGGGCCCACTTTATCGAGCACTCGCAGTTGCATTCTCCTGCGTGACGCGACATGCCTAAACGCTTCAGCATGTTTCAGCTCGTTTGGTGGTCGTTGGCTGCGGATTGCGGTTGGCCAAGTCATGACAAAATACACCACACCAAGGAAAATCAAAACACACCACATCCAACAGAAAGACTTTCTGCAATACTGTGGTGGTGGAACTGACGAGCAGTGGGAATGGTAACTAACACATGACCCAATTGACTTTGGATGAGCAACGTCTGCAGGGAAGGCATGGCAAATGAAGGTGTAACGATCATATGTCTTCAATATCGGAATTCAGAAAATAAACATTAACAAAAACGGAAAGTATATGTATATATATATGTGTGTATTCATTATATCACACTTTGTGGTCATGGTCCAAAACCTTAGGGTTCGGATCTAGCAACATCGCAGGACGCAGAAGAAAAGGCGACCCAAATGACCCAACTGAGGCCGCTGCTTCAGGCCCGGGACGTTCAACAAGGCTTTTCCTGGAGACATGCCAAGGCTTGCCAAGGCCAAGGCTTTTGCCTACCACCCATTTTTGGGAGGGTTAGTTTGGGAGGGCACCCTCAAAGCATCTCAAACCACCAAACAAACTGGGAAAAAGTGATCAAATAACCTCTCTCTGCATGAATACCTACTGAGTCACAGTTTTGAGGGACTAATGGGCCATATAGTTGGCAAGTGTCAAAAATCAAAAACGACAGTCAGAAACTCCAAGACCAAGAAGGGTCCGCATTCTGCCAGTTTCTATCCTTCGCCGCCAGGCCTGACAAGGGCCATTGTCCTTGTCCCGGTAACCTCTCACTTTAACATCCCATGTCTCAGGTGACACCTCCTCACTCAGTGCGCGTCGCTGCTTCCCCGGCCTCGACTCAACTCCTCCGCCTTTGGCGGCTCTGGCGCTTCACGCTTCACCGCGCCCGTGCCGTCGCCGTCGCCGTGGGCTTCGGCGTCGTCCGCGTCCGCGCCGCGAGGCTTCGGCGCGGGCTTCGGCGTGGGCTTGAGGAGCTTCGGAGCCCTGGGATGCGGTGGATATCAGGAACATCGTCTTGGAGTCTGAGATGGGCCAGGAGAAGCCAAAAAACAACCAACTTGGAGCAAATCGAGAAACCTAGCACAGAAATGCACCTAGCAGCTAGCAAATCTCTGCTTCCTTTTGTTTCTGGATTGTTCACATGAAGTCATGAAGTGCGCGTAGCCCTTACCGAACTCCAATCAAAGGAAGTCTTCCACACATTCCCAGTTGCCTCAGTTGGGTCACATGGACGCAAAGTCGAGAGTCATTCTGCCCCAAGTCAGCAACTGTTCATTCATGTTCATTCCCTTCACTCTTTTCATATTTTTTCGAGTCCTTTCGAGTCCTTCTTCCATCTTTCAGGGGTATCCCTGGATCCTGTCCGATGGGCGCATCCTGTCGCTGGAAAGAGGGATGTTTCCTGTTTCCACCGATGCTCGGTCGAATTCCACACCTCCTCAGCTCCTCCTCTTGCAGCAGTGCAGTGAGGGTCTCTTCAGCTGCCTCTTCTGTTTCGACGGACGAACCGGGTGTCAATGGCACTCGAGGACTCGGAATGATGACCTGGTTGGTGACTTCTCGGTACTTGGGCTCCCTGCATCACTTTGGCTCCCAGCATATATAATAGCAAGTGCAAATGGTGTACAATTATGGTCGAAGACGATCTACTTTCCCAGGCATATATACCTAGCCCTTCCACTACCTACATTTTTTTGTGTTATCTACTTTTGGCTACCATCAACTCAAAAAACCAAGTATTCAACAAAAAGCCAGGTATTCATGCTGTTGTGTATTGCCACAATGTTCATAGATCCCTCATGACTCCAGCCCGCATCCCCTTTTCCTGCGATCAGCGACACAGAATGCCTGCCTCCACCCAACATGTATGGGCACAAGTAAGGTACCTTTCCAACGTTCTTTTCATGGTCAGCTTTATGCTGACCCTTCTGCTGAGTCGCGATGTGCGACCGATGCTGTCTTCGTCCTGCTGGCATGCCGTCACCATAGGTGACAGCGCAAAGCCCACCCGCTTCGCGTCTGAGGCCAACCGAATCACATGGTGGTGAACAAAGTGCAGCTTTGGATACATTGGAAACAAAAAAGGTTTCTGGCTTCTAAAGCATGTCTTTGCCAGGGTGTCATAAACTCTCAAAAATCTGCGCCCAAGCTCGAAACACTCATGGCTTCTTCCTTGCTCAAGAACGCTGGCGCACGGTAGAGGAATGCAAACATATCGTTTGCTTTCTGAGCTCCTTCTGCCGCCAAAGCAAGAAGTGGGTCATGTGGCAAATCTGAAAAAAGAGCGGGCACCCAAAGCATCATCGTGGTAGTTACGGAGCCTTTGCTCCATGCCCCAACTGCTCCAGTCTTGTCGCGGTATGAAACCAGAGTGCCTGTGATTCTTGAAACAATTGGTGGCCTGCGGTGCTTTTTGCAGAAATCACGGTAGTGAGGGTTTGCAGCAGCAATGAAAGGCAAGGCCAGCTGCACTGCACTACTCACAAAGCTCTTTCCAACTCCCAGGTGGAATGCGTGCCACAGGTCCGGCATAAAAAAGGACGCCGGATTGGAGTGGTCGTGAGGGAGAGTCCGCACCACTGAAGGAACCCTGTCCCAAGGACAAGAAACACCAACTGTCACACGCCACGCTGGTTGAAAAGTATTGATTTCCTCAGCTGGAAACAACTTCTGCCCTGCAAGGCACAAGTGGCAGATCCCTCGTGACTTCTCACCATCTTGGCCGCCCTTAGCTCCAGTGTTGAACGCACGATTCAGGTTGCCCATCTTTTGGAGATATGGCCAATCTCCTTTCACTCCAATTACCGCCACATAGAACACCTCCTGGGTTAGAGGATCTCGGACACCTTCACTCAAGAGCTGCTGTAGATCCTGGCAGAGGTGATCCATTGCAGAATGGAATACCTTCGGGTTTGTCTCATAGTGAGACTTTGGAATGGCTGAAGTGACGAACCGGTTCGTGAAAGAGTGCCCTTTGTAGTTCACACGAAGTTTGACATCACCATCGAGACTACGCTTGGTTCCACGGCTTGATGGCCTTTGCTCATCAAACCCTGTCCCCAAGCGTGACTGCAATGATGTCACCATGATGCCATTCTTTTTCAGGGTCCGTCCTTCATCTCCATGAAGAAAGCAGGCGCACGTGCGTCGCGGGTCAAACCCCTCCATGTCAAACAAGGAGAAATGAGGTTGAAGAGCTCTAAAATTCTGCCAAAACTGGGACCATACATGTGGTGCCAAGTGCTTCTCATGAAACTCCAGTCCTGCCAGTCTGTACCACAGGCCCTGATCAACAATGTACCCCATCCAACTTGTTGGAGCAAGCCATGGGATCTCAACCCCTTCTGCCGTCAGGGTGCTCATGGGAATTGGTAGTTTGCTTCCCTGCTTGGAAAGAACACGTTGCACATCCCTCTCTGAATTACTCAGGGCAATCTTTGCCCATGAAATGACACCAGACTTGCTGGCAGCTTCCTCACCAAACTCCTCAGTGACCGCTCTTGCAGTCCGGATCTGGGAAGAGCTGCTGGCCTCGGCGCACACTGCCCACAGAACACTCGGGGTCGAATCTATTCAGTATACACCCCCTCGATTTACATGAAAACTTGTGTTGTGGTGGCCAAAAGTTTTACTAACATTTAGCCTATCTATTTGATCAGTAAGGAAACCGCTATCGTCAGAGGTAGTGTCACTTCACTTGGATTTTTCCGGGGCTGTCTTGGACATCATACGTGTCACGTTTTCCGGACAATAGGTTTAATCTACCTCGAATATTAGATTGTGTGCACAACTTCATGGGATGACAATCCATCCGTCGGATGGCAGCTTACATGGAGGCTCGAAGTCGGCACGTTGACGATGAAGCGCATAGTTCAGAAATGGGTGTTCTGGGTGGAATCCTTGAACCCTTTGGAGAGTGCTCAGAAAGCTGAAAGTGCCTAGAGCTGTATACCTCGATCTATATAAGAACTTCAGCCCCAACAGCACCAAAAACATGACACTTACCATCACCTTAGCCGCACGTTTCCCAGGAAAGTTCAGTATCCACTCAGCAATGGGCCCACCAACATGAAAAATAATACACTGAACGCAATTGGAAGAGTCGTGAGTATGGTGCTTGATATTTTTTGACAGGGTACCCTTCAGCAATGTCTTCAACAGGTTGCAAGAAGTAAAGCGCAACTGAATTTCAGAACCTTCTGCCTAACGCTGCGGCGCTATGTGGCTGCTCCCTTCGTGAAGGAATTTGAGGGCGATGGCATCCTGAATGCAAATTGAGGGGTGGTGTGGGCACACCTGGTCAACCCTGTACTGCCTCTTGGGGAGCCTACCTGGGCTCTCATCTAAGGCATTGGCTCCCTCCCCGATGTTCTTCGCGAAGCATTGGGCCGTGCGTCCAGGACCTGGCTGGAGACTTCTTAGCATAATCTTGGGCATTTGGTGGAACGGTCGTGAGGAGGGGGTCTTGCTGTGCAAATGACCTCGTTCTTTTTCCCCAGGAAGTATGGCGGATGTTGACTTTCAGCTTGCATCCAGTACCCCAATTTGTCACATTTGGCCACAAGACAGAGCGGGCTTTATAACACAAGCCTTTCTATCCCATGGAGTGTTGAGTGGAGAAAACATCAAAAGTTCAAGACGCAGTGGCCAAAGACCTGCAAACACACATGGGCATGTGTTATCACACAATCCCACGGCATGTGCTTTCACACATCATGTGCATCAGCATTCAGGCAGCAGTCTCCTCTTTCACGACTTTGGTAAAGTGGCGTTTTGCGTTCCTGAAAAGCGTGCCATAGCACATGGAGATCTAAAAAGGCAAGCTAACATCACCACCCAACCAACTTGTTTAAGGAGAGCTCCGGATCTTCGCTTCATTCTGGGCGACTTTGGTGCACCTGCAGTGGCATTTCTCGATCTATCACGAGCTGACTTGACTCTTTGCTTTGAAAGCTTGCAAGCAGAACTTAAAAGGAGTTGGTATCATATCCCCACTGCTGCAGAGTTTTCTTTGTTCACTACGTAGTGACTTTGTTGCTTTGGACGACCTTCGAGCTGCAGTCAGGGCACACAAAGGTTGACTCCTTCATGAGCTTGTCTCCAGCTGCCCGCCACCTCACATACTGCAATTGAAAAGACACTATATACAATATAAATGTTCAACCTGGGATGGTTTGAGAGCAGCTAGGCATAATAGTATATTAATTGGTGCAAGCCACGCTTGATCAAAGTCGTTTTGCTCACCCCTCGCCATCATATCCGAGCACTTGTTGTACTCACCGTCCAATAGTTGTAGGTCTGCCTCCAATGCACCCACTGACCTAAGGATCGGAGCTGGTATGCAGCGTCTTGCTATGACGCAAGCGTGGACAACCAGACAACAGGCTGGGTAGAAGTGAAGGGTGCGTGGGTAAAACGCATGTGCAAACATGCTACTTCTGGGCAAGGTTGTCACCAGCATAGTTCTTCTTCAGATCGGACATGAGAGATCTGATCTTGGCACACTTCGACAGGATGCTGTCAGAGAAACGCCGGAAGACTTCCTTCGCTTGGAGCGCCTGCCAGTGTCAACCAGTAAACAGTTAATCAAAACTCATCAGCGGTTCACATTCTAAACCAAAGCAATTGCAGTAGATCTCAAATGCCAAGCTCATTGACACCTCAGAAGTGGCTTGGTGTTCAGGTGCTTCTCGTGCCATGTCAGCATCATTCAAGCGGGCGATGCCAGACATATCGGGCGCAGACAGATCACCTGTGTCCTGCCATGCACTTCATACAATATATTTTACATACTGTGTATATTGCACACCGTACTATGCAATTCAGGTTTGAGTGGTCACGAATGGCTTCAGAGACAGTCCTCTGCAGTCCTGATCCTTTGCTCCTCATTGGTCTCTTCCTGTTCACGGCTGGCGTTCTCTCGCACCTCCACGTTGAATTCTTCTTCTCCGGAGTATTTGTTTCTCCTGCCACTTGGGAGAAGTCTCAAATTGTGATGGACATGTTGCACATTTCCCCGAGTAGAAAATGGAACCCATGGAAAAGAAACAAGAACTGCAGTTCTGGCCTGACCAATGCCCCAGGATTATTCCGGCAGCTCTTGATAGCTCCCTCCACCTTCTTCCTTACCCAAACCAATGCAAGAGCATGTTGGTTTACCATGCGAATTTTGTTGTACATGAATGGGAGCCAGTCAATGTGCATCCAAAGAGCGCATTCCAATGAAGAATTTTCACCATATCCTCCTTTGAGAACCATCCGGACTCGACAGTGTTTTTCTTCGAGTTCTTCTTTGTGTGGATTGTTTTGCACTGCTGGATAAACTTGTCCTTATCAAGACGGGTGAACATGCGACGTCTTGGATCCACCGGAGGTGGCACTTCATCCTGCGCATCACCGACCTGACTTTGAAACTTGGCCGCAAGAAAAGAACACTCATAACACTTCCTGCAGAATAGAATCCTTATCGAACCCCGCAGATTCTAGCGCTTCTGCTAGCTCATCGTGCGATCCAGACTTCCACATCGCGTGGACCCAGGCCGGTACACCACACTTTCCGTTCTTTTTCATCTCACACAACCTGCGCAATCGAGCCTTGTTCTTGTTACGCTTCTTCTGCCTCTCAGCAAGCTCATCGGCCTGGGATAAGAAATTCGGATTCAATTGGGACCAGATATTAAACAAAAACCATTCCCCTGCAGAAACACGCTAGCCGCTAGCCAATCCCCAGTGACAAGTTGCAAGGGTCTCAGCATTGGATTCTGGGGCACTGGGTTCTACAGGTGTGCCGGACCCAACCCTTGCACGCTTGTCACCATCGCTAGCTGCCTCATTCTCTCGGGGCCGCTTGGGTTGCGGGAGAGTTGGGGGTTTGGCAGCGGTAGTGGCGCCCTTGGCTCCACTCAGGAGCTTCATAGCAGCTTCGGCATCCAGCTTCCCCGACTGGAAGAGAAGCATGACTGCAGAGAGATCAGGGTCGCGTTCCTGGTTCGCACAGCGTAACTGGCTTGCGCGGGTGGTTTTTCCAGTAAGTTGGTATTTCAATAGGGGTTATGAATGTTTGAGTTCAGTTTGAATTGTGATCGGCAAAAAACAGCAACATTGTGGATCCTCTTCCGGTGTAGGTTCCATGGAAGCGCTCTTCATCTTACGGAGCGATTCTCCATCGGAGTCTGGCAGGGTAGGTGACACCTCAGGTTGGGTCTGAGTCTGTTGGGATTCCGCGGCAGCTTGTTCACGGGCATGGTGATACTGCGGCGTAGCCTGATCACGTGGAGGCAGCAAGGAAACACCCATTAGTGGGGAACATGTCAAAGCACTGTTTCGTTTTTTTCAACCTGTTGGTTGTTAGCAGCACGGTCGAGTCACAGCGGTCTTCACCTCAAGTTCTATCTCCATTTTCTTGAGTTCCATCAAATCAAGATCCTCTCGGGCTTCAGCCTAGTGCGGGCGACGGTTACAGTCTGGGGGTACGGGGGTATGTGAATTCTTCAGCACGTTTAAAACATCAAAGCCTGAGATTGACTGGTTTAAGGTCAACACGGTCTTCTGGGCAGCTTCTAGATCGGCAAGACTCCGTTCAAGCACCTGCGGGCTTTATGGTGAAAACTTGAAGGACGCACGCAGGAAGTTGGCAACCATATCTAGTAGGCACCTTAAGGTGTTCCAAATCATCGGGAAGCTCAGCACGCATATCCGTCAACAGGTGGGCCATGCCATCAGCCAGCTCCGATGTGGACCACTCACGGGAAAACAATGTCGACCCTTTGTTCATCCCGATTGGACGAAAGAACAGTCAGCTACACACAGAACGCCTTTGAGCCTTCTTCGCCTCCTCATGAAAATTCAATAAAGCATTCTACCACCATGGAAGATTGCTTTATTGAGTTTGGTTGGGCACGCCATACTCCACATACCCTTCACTCAATACAAGCCGTGTAGGCGATCATCCCCGGCCCAGGCACTTGGATGGAAAATCAACGCGATCTCACTGGCAAGGGCAAGTGGCTTGTCAATCCACTGTAATGGGTGAAGGGTCAACATGAACTTCTCTATATGCTACATGTATATGTGGCCATATAATATATCATAAATATCCGCCTGGAACCTGCTGGAAACGAGCATGATTATTATATACTTTCGATCGATCTGGCGATAGGTGCAAAATATGAATTACTTCCAGAACCTGTCAGATAAGTCCTGAAACAGAACAGAAGTGGAACACCGACTTCTGAGATCTTCCATGCATACACTTCTCGAATTTGTCCCAAGGCTCACCGAAAGCTGGGGATCTCTTCCAAAAGCCGAATGATTCCGCATAAGGATGGACCACGATTTACCCATAAAATTTTATGGGTATTTTACGTTATTTTATGGGTAATTTACGGATATATTACGCCTACAAATTTTACGCATGGGATTCCCAGGTATTTCCCAAACATTTACCAGGTATACATCAATCATTTACGGGTAACTACGGGTGATTACGGGTAATTACGCCTTTTACGCCTCAAAGGTGATCTTGGAAGATTGTGGGCCTCTACCAGTTTGGTTTGGGAGCTCCGAATGCCACCAGAAAGGTAACATGTTTTATTCCGCTAAAGGTCTGGGTCACCCAGCTTTGAAGGTGGTCGCATCTATACATGACTCTAGAGCCTTCGGGGCAGGAAAGGTCTGAAGTCTGGCGGAATCAGCAAGCTGGTCCCACCCCTCAGATACTTGCATACTTCAACAATGCTGGCTTCCGACCACAAGGACTCTTCATCGTCTCCGATGCCCATGGACTGGAAGGTCTCCAGCGCCGTCGGGATCGTGGGCGGAAGGGAGGGCTGGCCACGGCAGGACCCTACCAGCCACTCGTACAGCTCGACCAGTTTCAATCCAAACATCACCGGATATTCCCTTAGTTGAGGACATGGGTAAACCCTTTTGGAAGCAGTATGGAAATACATGTGATTGTATTCGTTGGCAAAGCAAAATTGAGGGGGGGGTGCACAGTTCAAAGTTGAACCAGGTTTCACCATCAACTTCACAAACACAGACCAGCTAATCCAGGAAAATCGGTCAAAGGGTACTAGTACTGACTCAGAAACACCAAATAGAACCTTTAGGGCAACTAAGGCAAGGTCTCTGACTTTCGCAAGCGAGAGGAACCTTTGAAGCGATCTTTTCCCTGCTTGTCTTGGTACTTGATAGTTGTTTTCACACTGTCTCTTTCCGATTTTGGTTTGGCCTTCCACCCAGCATGGTCGAACTTCCCACGATGCAGCTCGGATATGCGCCGGCTGTTTGACACTGCCCAGTGCGGCTTGGGCGTCGGACCACCGTAGTGAAGCATGTGCCACGTGACCCGGTGCACCTGGGCCGAGCAGGTCACAACAGCAGGAGTATCAGGATCACGTGCTAGGCAAACTCGATATTATATGATATCGTAAGTATTGCACAGTTCCATCGCCACCCACTTCATCCAACACACGTAGAAAATCCCTCCATCTGGGATAGTACTCGAGAAAGGAGCCTCCCGGCTGCTCCACTGTGAAACAGCCACCCAAGGCCACCACCAACGTGGCCAGCAAGATGACCCTCAGTAAAAAAACACACAATGTCTTTGAGTACTAGGTTCGGTTGAGTGTCCATACCATACTCCACACACGGCGCCCCACACCCATCTCACGTACAGTGCACCAGCCCAACCGATCGGTGGTTCCACCCCCTTGGAAAACATTTTGGCGACCCACATGTGACTGCTCATGCATGGTTGGCATACCAGCCTCTCAACCCACCCAGGACCAACCTGACTCGCAATTAGCAGCTTTCCCTTTTCACAACTGTATAGTAAGTTGGTACCATTTAACCCTTGCAGTAAAGGTCCCAAGTTGTTCAGGGTGCGAATGAACAGAGTATGGGGTGAAATCGGGCTGTCCAGGATCTAAATGCTGTTGAAGGTCCTGCTAGCCATAGCGTTACCACTTCTCACACTTTCGTGGTCACAGTTGCCAAGACTGCTGCGTTCACTCCTGCAGCTAGTGCCCACGTTGACAGTGCTCCAGGTTGAACACTTCAGTCCGAAATGGCACAGGAACCCGGTTGGGTCGCCACGAAGTATACATCGAATAGCGAGTCTTAGCTGGAGGTTTGGGTGTGCACAATGCAGGTGACTTTGGTGCAATATGAAACTTGAGATTTCAATTATATAGTCTAGGAACGCCATCCCCTCCGGAGTGAGTATGTTCATGACGTTGCGACCTTTGTGGTTTGCATCCATGTACTCCAAATCCAACCGCACAGCGCTCTTGCCAGACAGCTTCTGCGTGCGAGAGAGTTCTCCTTTTCCAGCAAAGAACTCTATGCACTGGAAGGTGTCCTGGCTGGCGATCAGGAAGAATCTAAAGTGGTGGCACCTCAAACTGCATACACGAGTGTTTTTACCCAAACACGTGTCAGAACCTCGTCAAATCCAGGAGGGTCAGGAATTGAGGTCCAGAGAGTCAGAAGCACGGCAAAAATGAAAACCTCAGCTTCGATCTACTTAGAGTGTGTATTCATGCATGGAGCTCATGTGTCATTGCAATTGAAGGGATACCCTGCACACGCTCCACCCAGTTGCTTTCGGGGCTGCCAGTGCGCGCAGCCTCCAAACCAAAGCCGAGGTCTTCTCGGAGTCAAACATGGCGCCGCTGTTTCCTTTTAAATCTGCAACTTGGCCAGTAGCATGGGTACCATGCCAAATGTCAATTGTTCAAACATGTTCAAAAGGTCTTTGCATGTAAAATCCTGGCAGGCTATTGCATGTTCGGGCCACAAGTGCACACAAGAAAGTACACAGTCAACAATCCTTTAAAGGATCATTGCCAATTATAGTTCACTGTAACACACCCAATGTGCATTTCAATTGTATCCGTTCTGGTTCCAAATTAAACAAGGGAAGTGAATTTAGACAGCCACTGTCAATCTGGAGTAGCAGGATGGTATGACTGCCTCGGTCCCTGACTTTTCAATTTTTGGTAAACGTAGCCAGGCGAGCCGTCACACTTCTCGAGTCCTGCCTTCACGGCCCACTTGTTTCGTTTCAGCAAAGGCATTGGCCTCGGCAAAGCTGAAGCACAAGAGTGATTTGGCTGATGCTTGCCAGCATGGGGTTTTGCTACAGGCGGCGCAAGTGCCCAAATCGTATTTGATATGAGCAAGCTGTGGTTGAGAAATCATGTGCGACTGTTTTTTGTCCTGCATGTTTCCTATTGGAAGTAGTAAGCAGTAAAAGTGCAATTCTTTTTGCATCGAACTCGCACGCCCTCTGCGTTGACACGGTTTTCCCAAAATTCAGCTAGCATGCCCATATGAGGTTTACCCCATGCATGCATTTGCCATGTACTCAAAGCATGTTCCAGTAGGACATGCACCCAGACAATGGCAAAGCTAAACTCCCCAGACCCGATCCTCCAGTGAGGCTCCATATATTGATGCCTTTTGAAGTAATGTTGCATGAGTTTCCAACTACAGACGCAAAACCACAGAGCCAGACAGTTCCTTACACTGGAGTACCACCTAAAGCCTGCGAGAGATTAAACTTCGCCACGGACATCCTGTAATTGAACTCGCGGCTTTCTTCAGGGTCGCTCAGGTCGATAGATCCCTGCCCCGCCAACCAAGATGCCTTGGATATATAATCAGTGCCACTTCACGAGCGTGATAAACAAGAAACAAAACAAAACAAAACAAAACAATAACGACACAAACAAGCCACAAAGATTCTCGCGGCCATGTGGGTGCTGGTCATTCTTGGAGTCCATCGGTCAGCATGACCAGGGAGATCTTGGCCATCTGGTGCCGAGAAGTATGCCACCTGCGGGCTGCCAGGCAAGAGAGGCCATTTGACACCCGTGGCACACCGAGTCCAGTACGGAATCAACTTCACATACTTCCACTCCGGCACAGTGTCATTGAGGTAATTCTTGATATCCACGACTTCTGCATAGGTCTGCTCAACCTCGAGCATCTCCTGGCGGATCCGCTGGATGATCACATCATCCCGAAGAAGTCGGTCCTCAGCAACAGAAGGTCTTGCCCTCGGAGCCCTGGCCCGGCGCTTCGGCTGCGGAGCGCCCTCTTCACCGTCCTCCTCCGCAGGGGCTGCCCTCCTCTTGGCCGCAGCCTTCCTCTTGGCGGCAGCCTTTGCCTTTGGCTGTGGCTCTGCCCCCTCAGGCCCATGCTCACTTTGTGCAGGTGACTCCGCAGCACGAAACAATCTCCGCCTTGGCGTGCGGACTGCCGGATCAGGCAAGCCACCCATACCTGCGACCTCATGAGCAACTTGCCGAGCACTGTTTTGCATCTCCACGCTCACAGCATGTGAGTCCACAGAGTCCTCCCTCTTTGCTTTCTTGCCCGCACGAGCCTTCATGCGAGGAGAGAACTTAGCCATGTAACTGGCTTTGGTCTTTGCCTTGGCCTTGGGCGAGGATTTGGCCTCGGCCTTTCCCCTTGCTTTGGCCTTGCCATTTGATGGCCCTGATGACTCGCCCACAGGTGGCTCTGGCTCTTCCTCATTGGCCCGCTTCTGGGCTGCTCTGCCTTTGGCTTTAGGTGCAACTTCCGCTTTGGCAGCACTCACCTTCGGAGCACGCTTCTTTTCCTGCTTTTCAAGCTCCTTCTCAAACTCCTTGCGCTTCCGCTCAGCTTCCATGTCGTCTTTGAGCTTCAGCTGCTGTCGACGGGTGAGCACCTGCCAGTGTTCAGTTGTACAATGGAAGTTCGAAGGACACGCGATAGAAGGTGGAGTGGCTTTGGCTTATAAGATCTAACAAGCGGTGCACATGATTGGTCAAGTGCATGTATGCAGGATAGTGGACTGGATTGAAAACAGGCAAACAAATTTGTCAGCCTTGGCAAACTGGTGTGCACAGGGAAAAGGAAACAAAACAACGATTTGCTGAAACATTCTGCCTCAGTCCCAGCTTGCCCCAAGCTTGGCTCCATCTCAAAAGGCACCTGTGAGTCCTCGAGGTCTAAATGCATGGTTGCCGCTTGGAAGCCAAACTCGTGCATTGGCTGTGTCTCTTCGGCATCACCGCATGGTAGCTTTGCTGGATGTTGGCCTGCCCGGTTCCCAAACGGAAGTCACAAAATGATACAAAATGATGGGGGTAGGCATGCATATTGTAAAATCATGTTATACAACGATCGTAACGTGCTATTTGCAATGCACTAGGCCGATTGCTATATAAGTTAACGTGCACGTACAACTTGTGTGCCACGCCTGCAGGTGTGGTACCAGGTGAGTCAAGACTTACCGCGGTGGCCTCCTTGTTGAGCCGTAGCCTAGGCGAATTGACTTGTTTCCCGCTACATGCCACATGTTCAGACCTTTCCGATGCACAATGGACGTTCCGCCAAGGAACATCACCTCCGTCTTCTTTTGGATGATGCGCTCCTTGAGTGCAGCAATGGCAGCGCACTGACCTTGCAGTGGCATGCAAACATGTTGCTTGGAACAAAAAGTCATTCATTTGAGCTCGCTCGAATACTTCATGGGGTCAGTATATAGGGAAAATGTACCGCATATGCAAATCCATGCAACATGAACTTACCTTCTTGCAAACTGCACAAGGCAAGGTAGCACGGGATGACTCGAGATCCATCTTTGAAGGTGGAGGCGGTGGAGGGTGCATAGATGCAGGTCCAGCGGTTTCAGGGGCTGGAAGGGCTGGAAGTGGTGAGGAACCAGGAGGAGGTTGGTCAAAAGTGGCGAGCCAACTAGCGAACTCCTGATAATCTTGCTGCGTTTCCGGATCCTCATCGTTCCACTCATCCTCAACCAAGGTTGATGATCCAGAAGGACCGCTGGATGGCTGACGGGTCAGCATGTACTCGTCGATGGTCTCCTGCCAATAACAAACCAGTGGGCATGTTTGTGGGTATTTCAATCCCCCCCCGAAGGACCAACATACGCATGAAATGAAAAGGTTGCACCAATTGTTACCTAGTGCGTCGCTTACTATATACTTTGAGGGTGAAACTGAATTACCTGGGACATCTCTTGACCAATCTCTCCTTAATTGACGGATCGAGTGAGCAATGGATGAAAGGCCTGCAGGGCACAAAAGATCAGGAGGAAAGGAAAGGGGAATAAAGATACAGAGACCACTTCACAGAACCCAAGAAGTCATTGAGAGAAAGTATAATCAGTCCACGTCTTAGAATATAATACAGGTTCCACTTTACTTTTTGCGTGACACAAGTTTTAGAACCCCTCACCTTGGTGACCTCACGGTGGTTCACACGCCTTTTGATGAATCCCAACATCTTCTTGATCTCAATCGCGGCTTTGTAGATAACTTTACCCCCGGGAGTCTGCCTCATGGCCGAGTAGAGCTTACCAAGCTCATCCTCAAGAAAACGCAAGTGGGGGAGATGATAGCTATCAACTCCACTCAGCATCTCCAGGGCAGGCAAGATCACAGAAGCATTGGCCTTGGCATTTTCACGGTTAGGCTGGCACCATGTCTCCGTTGTAGGGTGTTGCATCAGCTTGTTCGCCGATAGCAGTCGGCGTCGGATGACATGATCCTGCTCCCACTTCGCAGCTAGACCATCACACTGCATGGCCATGCTCGCTCACACCCCTGTGCGCAGGGATGCTCAAACCTGTGAGCCTCAAAATGCACTAAAAACATCAATCGATATCAAATCAAACCCGGTATACACACCAGGGATTCAAAAGTCCCTCTACCAACCGTGCCCCCTCGAAGGAGCCAAGCGGTGCTAGCTGCTGTACCTGACTGCTCTTGCTCAGAGAAAATATGAGATGAGGTCCCGGCCCTGTGGTAGAGCCATCATCCACGTGGAAGACGTGCCAGCGACATGCGGGGATGGGAGCCGATCGGTTCAAGCTGACTTGGATGGGTAAAGTCTGGGTTCCAGGGTTTTTGTGACCTCAAAACCATGATTATAGTTGACTCCCATCCACCAGCGGGAATTGTTGTTGCACGTCCATGATGGTTTACTTCTGATTCGATCATGGTTGCAGCTCTTGAACCTCGGCCCCCAAGCACTTCAAACTCGTGCAATCTTCAGAAAAACCAGGTATTTGCAAAAACCAGGTTTTTTTCTGAAAACCAGGTTTTCCTGATTGGTCAAGAGATTTCCCAGGTATTTCAGTTTCACCCTAAAAAAAAGTAGGTAAGCGACGCACCAGGTATGTGTGTGTGAGTGTCGTGTTTGCGTGGTGTTCCAAGTCGGTCAATTTGCGGGAATTGGGGATGGCTTCTAGAAAAAACATTCTCCAAAAGTGCATCCAACCAGCCCCCAATCAGACTGCCACACAAAGAAGCTGACTAGTGACTAGTGTGCACATTGGAACATATTGGACCTTTGTGGATCCTTTGTCAGGGGTGTACCACCATTGGGGTGATACTCTACAGTAGAATATATTAGTATATATCTGTATATATCTTAATGATATGTCAGGTGGTGGTAGTTCGAAAGCCGTCCTGAATATTTTGGGCTTTAGCCTTCCCGGTCTGCTCAGATTTTGGGACGCTGAAACCCCGCGTGCCTGAATTTCGCCCGCGGCGACTTCGGCTTCACCTGACGTTGATCCAGGTCAGTGCCATTGCTTCATGGTCCAAAAGAGGGAGTGGTGACCACACTGCAGCGGCACAAAGGATCTACATCGTTTGCAGTTTGCTAAGTTGAGCAATATATGTGCGTGAACATATATATATGTATATATATATATGTTTTGTTTATTTGATTTTATTTATCTGCATATATATATATATAACACTTAACTCTCGGTTGACACTCTTGCTTGGCACTAGGGTGAGGTGCAACTTGACAACGTTGGATTTGCTGATAGTTGTATCTTATAGGCCCACGGGCTGGACAACCAAAGGACCAGGTCTCAAAAGTATATTGTTGCAGGGGCACTGCAGCATTAACTTGGATCACTCCTTCGTGCAAAGCTACTCTATATCAATTCTTGTCACAGTGCATGCGCAACCCAACAAAAAAAAAGGGGGCTTCTGGCTCCGCTACTAGTCTTTTGGTATCTGCCATATCCACTCATCAATCATCGCCATCGCGGCCATCGCTCCGCGTCGTCATGGCATGGATCCTGTGGTCTCGCACGCGCTTCCTCAATGGCCTTCTGGAGGGCCTATGGCTGTTGCCAAGCACTTAGCGACAAGTCATCCGTTTGTAAGGGCAGGAAACTCTCAAACCTTTTTTTGGCGAGTTGCACGTGATGGTGCAACTCGCACAGTCCAGAATCTCTTAGTTTATAAAAGTGCACGCCAAGAACTACATTCTGTGCTACATCTGTCACCTTACTCCCAATACGAGTATGCAGGACTGCAGGACTGCACGTTGCTTGAGAGGTCCGGAACCAGGCCACCCTGGCACTCGGGTTCTGGCTCTTCGCGGCCTTCAATGGGGCGACACCAGCCACTCGGGAGGTTCGATGAATGGGCTTTAAGGGAAACATCGACCGGAAACCATGGTCTTCACAGGCTTTCCCTTCAATTCATTCAGAGGTGGTCATCTGAAGTGATCCCACAACACGCGACGACTCACGCCAAGCTAAGGAAACTATTAATAAAGGCAGTGGAACTCATGGGAATTTGCTTCGATCAGTCAAAGGACTGTTGGGCAATATATAACCATAATTGTTCCGCCGATGTGGAGGATCAGGAGGGACTCTCTACATCGCTTACTACCAAAAAAAGTGTGGATCCTGTCCTCCAATCAGCGGCCGCAGCCGGATGAGGAACCGCAGGGGTCGTCGGACGACGAGAAACGTCACGACGGCCACTGGATCGCTTCGGGGCGGTCGGGACGGATGGAAGCTCCGCCGGCTCTGGGCGCCCCAAGCGCCCTTCAGCATCAGAAGGGCCTCGGCCCCAGCGGGGTGCTCGGGTGGCCATGCACAAGGAGCATGGAACAGATATATAACGGTTGTGAAGATAAGAGAGGTGGGGAGATTAGGCAATAGGAGAGTTGACAGGGTCAACTCTCTCACTACACATAAATTGTAGGAATGTCCACTGACAAAGCTTCTGCGTAAGGAAGGGCTCAAGCTGATTCTTAGATGCCTTGCCCTTTCTCATTCAAGAAGCGTTCAACTCGGGACCCTGCGGCTCTATAGCGTAACCAGTCTTAACCTTCTGCGGTCTTTGTGTTTCCGAGTCAAGCCCTGCAGCGTCTGAGTCAACATTGCTCATGATCAATCGGAAGAGCCCTGCTTGCCGAGATGAGACAGAATGGGAACCCTGCATGGCATGGCCAGTCACGGCCAGTGGAACAACACCATGTTAGAAACGCTGTGGGATGACCGGTGGCTCTTTGCACTTTGCACTAATCGAAGAACAAGTCAAAACAACTCATCGCTAAAGACAGGTGACATGGGCACCCGTGGACAGGTGTCAACATTCTCATTGAGAGGTAGGTGCTTTCCTTCTGGGTGCTGTGATCGTTTGGTGGAGTGCTGCGTGGCCCGCAAAACACTTGGACAACAAACAAACCCCCTTCCAAACATATTTTGGACATCCTCTCTATCTGCGCGAGCTCGTCGGATAGGGCTTGTTGGCTCATTGGTAGCATGTGTGCCCTTGGCAGATCTTGGTGGTAAAGGATACAAAATTGTCAAACAACGAAGTCCTGCACATCACACTCTCTCTCTCTCTCTCTCCCACACTAACAACCCAACTGACGCGGGCTTTGAAGATGATTACATCACAAAAATCCCAAGATTGAGGGGTTCCAACCATTGAATTAGGGAATGGCGCAGAATAATCGATTTGTTCATCCTGCTGCCCATTTCTGCATCAATCCTTTCCGCAAAAGCCCGCACGTACATCCCACTCCAAGAGACAGCTTCCTTGGCCCCCGGGCACGTTCGTGCCGCTCTGCCTTCAGGCGCTCAGCAAGGGCCGCCTGAGAGAAAAAACACACATTCTTTGAGCACAAGAAAGTCCTCGGTCCTCCAGCACGTCTGGCTCCACTCTCACTCAGGGTCTTCTCTATAGTCTCTAGTCTTCAAGAGTCGTCCGGATCGTTCGTTTGGGACGCTTCGCTGCCAGCTTCTGGGGCGCTATCTTGGTGAGAATGCATGTGCACCAAAGCCAATGCAGTAGACATCTAGTACACACACACATATATATATATATACAATATACATATACACAGTATTCATTAATCGAATGAATAAGACGGGATGTTGCGAGGCACTCGGTGAGCAATCAGATATCAATGTTTTAAAACAACAAGGCTGTCCCCGAAGCTCTCATTGCACTGGAAACTCGCGGGAATTGAGCTGGCGCTGCTTCTTGGACGGGGAGAATCACAGCACGAACCCCAAAAGTGTAACAACAAAGCTACAGAACGCCAACTGATGGTGGGAGCCTGAATAGCTCGGGCAGGGCGCTTTCGACATTTTCTGGAGTCTTGAGGGTCTTGGCTGAAGCAAACTTCAAATCAATCACGGGATTGGTTCCCCTATTTCACCACTGTTGGGTGAGGATGCATCTGTCCTCTCAGAGGAGAAAATTGGCAGCCGGTTGCGCATGTGAACTCTGTCCTCGGTTGCCGATGCGTGGAAAACGGCGCACGGAGAGAAAAGCACCAAAGCTTCATCCCTTGAAGGCAGCGGTTGTTCCACTCCATCTGACAGAGCCAAGGGTCAATCTCCCACATCAACTTCTCAGGCAAGGCATCTGGCTTGGCCATGGCACGCATATCTTCCTCCAGTTGTTCCATGGAGGTGTGTCCTACCAACCTGAAGATCGGTGGGACAGGGACACGGCGATTGCGGGCAAGACGGAACGAACCTTCTCCAGGGCCAGCATTCTGTGGTCTCTCATAGCTTTGTGCGATTATGAAGTTGGCAGGTTGCGCAAAAAACAGCCCATAAATGACACCGGGGGGATGTTGCTGATGTTCCAGCCCCACCTTCGTAGAAAAAACCTTCAGCAGCTACAACGATCAGGCGTTCAGCGGGTTTGAAACTAGAATCTGACATAAGACTGCTTCCTGCTGAAGCAGTGCTCAAGAAGTTCCACAACTTCTTGTGTAGTTTGACCAATGAAGTTCGACAAGCCTTCCAGGCCATTAGAATGCGATCCAAACCACGGTTTGTGATCTTTTCTCTCTCTCTCTCTCTCTCGCGAGTGTGACCGCCCTGATGTTCATTGAATTCCGAGGTCCCTTTGGTTCCCCCACTTTTGGATATGATCTTGTTCTTCTTGTCGTTCTTGCTGTTGTTGTTGCCGTTGCTGTTGTTGTTCTAGCTGTTCTTCCTGTTGTTATTGCTGCTCTTGTTCTTCTTGTTGTTGCTGTTGCTGTTGTTGCTGTTGTTGCTGTTGCTGTTGTTGCTGTTGCTGTTGTTGCTGTTGCTGTTGTTCTTGCTGTTATTGTTATTGTTCTTGCTGCTGCTGGTGGTGGTAATTGTTAATTATACATGTCATGTGTATATATATATAACTATTTCAACAAAATCTGACGTCAAGCATGAATCTGCCCCCGGGGAACAAAGTCCAACTTATAGATTGGTCAATTTAGATTGCGTGTCTATCACCTACTACCATATTTTATTTTAACAATATATGTCCGTGCCCTCCACTCTGAATCTGCCCTGCATTTCCCGAAACATAACATCGACTTGATGATGTCTCCATCTTAGACTGTCGAAGCTAAGGCTCGCCTTGTGGCCACCGAACCACCAAACCCCACCCATCGCGCCCATCAAGCCCTTCCCATCGCCAAAGCCACGCGGTGGTCATCCCACCCCGCTGCTTGGCCCAGCGCAGCGCCAGCTCCGTCAAGGGGATCTTCTGTTCCTTCGCCAGCGCCGCGTAGCGCTTGGTGGCGTCCAGCGCGGCAGCGGAGCGGTAGCGGTACAAGGTGGGGCCCCACGAGAGGTCGTCCATACGACCCCTGGGGCTGGTGGTCCTGGGGGCATCAGAGAAAGCATTGAAACTTCCGGGCGCCTCGTGGTTTCGGATTTCGCTTCTGGAACCCGGTGGGAGGACAAGACAAAGATCTTGACACCTGCAGACTGCAGATCGGTCAACTCAACTACCCCTCCTGGCAAAGCTGGCCATGGGGTTTGGCTCATCGGGGGCGGCCGGAGCGTCCAGGTACTTGCCGGTGAGCACTCCACCAGCTAAAACGTTGTAGGCCATGAAGCCTACATCTTCGTTGTAGGGAGAGCACATCTCCTCAGGCTGCATGGGTCCACAAATCCGGCAGTTTGGGGATGTTGTGGGGATCCACTTGGGGCATCAGCGGCATCAGCATGATGCATGATGGTCCGTCATGCATTCCGGTATGTCGGACGCTCGGTTGGCTGGCATCTGGCATTAGCGGGTTCATCCAGCTCTAGGCGTTGAATTTGGCTCTTTCTCAGCAGGGCCGAACATACCGCCAACACCAAAACCATCCATGTTGCCAAAACACAGAAACCTGCCCCATGCACAAGATGTTGTGTGAAGGCCAACTACTGCTCACGACGAGCTGGAGTTGCATCTTTACCTGGCTTGGGTCCATGTAAGACATTGCAAAACCATGCCCATGCAGGCCACCAGGCCCTATCTTAAATTTGGTGCCTTTACTTGTTGGATCCTCACTGCAAAACACAAAATTACTTTACTTCGAGTGATTAATTACTTCACTGCAAAACCCTCACCTGACAGGTGGGGAAAAAAAATGATAGAAAGGAAACTGCCGCGGCTCAGTCGCTCCCTTTTTGTCTCCGCAGAGAGAGGGTCGAGCTGCGACTGGGCCGTCAAATTGGCGGTTGCGTCTCATGTCGCTGAGGCTTGGGTGGTGAACAAATGAATATATAAAGGCTTCATGTGATCCAACAACAACTAATCACATGGAATCGACCTCATAATTAAACTGACCTTTTTCTTCACCCACTCTGGGACTCCACCCCCCAGGGCACTCCCGGTGCAGAAGAGTTTCAAAGAGACCATTTTCTTCACCTCAGGTCTGGCTATGTCTAGCTTGGAGCACAGAAGAGATACAGGGCGCGTATGGAAGCGTTGCCAAGTGCTAGACCTGCCATTAAATGGCCAAATCAGGCCAAAACTCGCTGAGTATATACCTGAAACGAGTACTTACCCTCCCCCCAACATGCGAACATGTGCCAACTCCGCTCCACGTCTCAGCGACATCTTCGATTCAAGATGGAGTAGTCGTTCTGAAAGACACAGGGCGGCGTGGCACCCATGGCTTTGGCCGTGGCCACAAGGCGTGTGGCGCCATAGGGGCTCTCATTGCAGCAGCCCCAGCCACGGATCTTGCCTTGTTTCACCTGGATTTGGTGGACGATTTCGTCATGTGGATGGTAAAACCTCTTCACGGGGGATCTTGATGAATCAAGGGTCTACATTATTAACATTTATTGACTAAATGCGAAGAAGCCACAAACACTGTTTTTGTCCCCAGCCGTGCCCTGCAACGAGACTAGTCTTCTTGAACAAAAACTCCTGCAACTAATTCGTTGTACGGCTCCCCTGCCCCTGCCCGGTTAGCTCCTTTAACATCTTTCTCCTGCAACCCCACGAACACCTGGGACCTGGTTCACTTCGGTCCTTCCTTCGCCAAGGGCAAGAACCATGACATGGTTCTATGCTGCGAAGGGAGCGACGGGTTGAGGGATCGACGCACCGGGCGAATCTGCCAACGAGGCACCAACTTGTCCATGGCTTGGACCACCTCCTCAAAGGTGGCCTGCCCTTCACGTCGCGCAATCTTCTCCAAAGTGGGGCGGTACTGGAGCGATTGACCCCAATTCCTGAGTGCTGGTGGATCAGTTCATGTTGCTTTGTTGTGGGTGGGGGGTCTAGAGAAAACCAACCTTGTTGCGTCGTCCTTATGCTGCCCCGCACAGGTGGTGCAACGTCTGGTTTGTTTCCAGGCGCCAAGAAAATCATTCAAATGAGATCTTGATCATAGTAGTTTCTGCTGCGGCTGGGACATGCGAAAAGACCAGTGTGTCAGATAAAGGTCCACATGGTCAAATTGCAACCTTCCAGGGTTGGCACAAAGGAGCCTCTCTCGCTAGCAGCATCAGATCCTGACCCCACTAGTAGGGTTGGATCAACAAAATCTACTTTGATTCACACACACATCTTCACACCATTGAATTTCACCTAATTATTTCACCATCATTTGTGCCCTCCCGCCTTTTCAAAGAGGCGTCCAAATCATCTCGGATGTTTTGAGCATTCACATTCAACCCTCCAGTGATCTTGGTGGAGACCACGATCTTATCTCGTCGCGTCTTGTCTTTGGCGACCCACTTGCCGATGATCTCTTCCGTCAGCCCCTCCGGCCGCAAAGCATCCGAGGGGATGGGATATTGCTCGGCGGTGTCGACCAAGTTCACCCCGCCTTCCTGGGCGACCGCCGAAAAAGAAAGGTGCCGAAACACACCAAGCAATGGTGGACTTTTGGGAGGTCTGAAGTGGACTTGCTGGAGCAGGGGCGTGGTGCAAGTGAGCATCCTACAAAGTTTCCAGAGTGGGGCAGGAGTCACCTGTCGGCCGGCAAAAACCCTCTCGGCTGACACTGCCTCCGGGCTTCCAAAATGGCCCGGTCCATCATCCGATGACAAAGCGCTTCATCTGGTCCATTGAAATCTGCACTGCCCCAACCTCGGGATGTGACGCTCGGGAACCTTCTGCATCATTGCATCTGGCTTCTTATAGCTCTTCCGTTGTCTTTGTATTCTGTGGGGGGGGGTGAACATCTCACCTTCTCAGCCTTAAAATTTCGATTACTAGAAACCAACCATTTGGTTTCTAAAACCTCTAATTATATCATATATAGACTATAATTTATCTGGGGTGTGATTCAATATGATGCAGATTCGGATAATAAGGTGTTTAGCTTTTTCAAGAGGAAAAAACAAAAGCTTCTTCATCCCCGTCTGAATGGGCTGGCGGACCTCGCGAACCGTCCGTCCCCATCGCTTCCTTCGCTGCCTCCCAGGGCACGCTGCGTGCCGAGGCCCATCTCGGAGACGTAGAGATCGCTGAAGCCCAGCTTCTTCCGCCGGATGCCTTGCACCACCTGGACCTGCACCAGACGAATCCGGTGCTGTGCGTGGAGGTGTGTGTGTGTGTGTGTGTTTTTTCTCCTCGGAAGGGCTAGAGTTAGAGCCCTGTGGTGTAGAACAGCTTCTGTTTACCTGGTTTACCTGCTTCAGTGCGTTTTTAACTTGGGGAGTAAGAGGGGGTCTTTTTGTGACATAGACCTTTCCTATCCATTCCTTCTCAGCTGGTGACCCACTGGTGTATTCTTAGAAAGCACCGGACCTCACCTGCCGTGTTACGTAACAATGATGCTATCTTCAATGGTTGGTGGATTTTGCCGGTGTGATCAGAGTTTCACTTGGCTTAGCTTCTGATTTCGCTGCGGCCGTGCCTCTGCCTTAGCACCCTTGGCGCCAGCGGCGGTGGTGGCAGCACCCGCCAGCGCAGCGGTGCGCCAGAAGGTGCTCCTGAATCGAGCAGTCTTCGCACACGAACAGCCTGGCAGCACTACTACTCAAACACTCCAATCGACCAACTTGTATGTAGTATAGTAACAGTATTAAAATAGTTGACCCTTGATCGCTAAACCCCCCACTTGCATGGTCAAACATCTCGATATCACATTTTAAGTCACGAAACCCTTGCCAAGGAGTTTGACTGGCGCTGACTGGACCTTTAATCGTTTTAATGATGGAAAAGGATAGAACTTGTGATAATTCTGCAGTCTGAAACATGCCCCTCACACAAGCCAGCAAGCTGAAGAAAAGGGTTGTCTGCTGTGATGAGTCAAGAACCCTGATTTCAGTAATGAGTAAGAACCATGATTACTCATTGTTCATTGCCGTCTATAACCACCGGAAAAGCACAACAGCAGCTCTTGTCGCTCTTGTATTATCATAATTCATTACTCAGTGCCGTCTATAAAGGAGCTGCTGTCGTTGTATTATTATAAACCAAAGAGGAGGAAAAAAAAAAAAAAAGCACAACGACAGCAGCTCCTTTATACCGGGGTTCGGCCAATATCACATGTTCACGTGGACACTGGTAGTGCCGCGTTAAAGAGTCCCTCACCTCTCAAATGTCCAACAAATTGGAGCCCTGCTACAATTCCCTCCCCATGTGCTCCTGCTGGTTGACGCCCTCGCCACGCGCGCCACACGTCTTGCTCCGTGCGCGATCGCAGCACTCGCAGTTAGCAGCACCGGTGCACGCGCCGCGCTCAGCTGTCGGCCTGAAGGTGCTGCACTGGCGCCAGCGCCGGTGACCGGCGCCAAAGAGGGAGCTAGAATCATGGGCGTTTTGCGGGCGCCTCAATTTGGCGTTCCAAAGTCTAACTGATCGGCGAAGCCAAAAGGCTCAAGGTCAAATCAACGAGTTGAAGTGCCCAACTGGCAAAACACGTACAAAACAAGTGAGGACGCCAATTGACTCTTGCCCCTTGACTGTTGACCCTTTCGACAGCTGCTACGTCTTCCGCCTTCAACCGCTCGTTGAAGCTGCTCTCCGCCTGACATGCTGATTTCCGCCTGACGTGTGAGAACCTATTGGATCAGCATCACTGGTCCCCTAGCAGCCCTACCACCAGTGAGACTTGTTGATGAACGACACCTGATGTTAACCCTCGAAATTGCACTGATTTCAGTAGGGCTGCTCTGTCCGAACCAGCCCCTGGAATTCTTGAGATTCCTGGCCACAGTCTCCCAAGAACGCACCCCTGACTCGCAAAGCAGGGTGCCAGTCTGGCAAATTAGGTGCCCAACAGCTAAACTTTCGAACAAAATCTTGAGAGAAACAGTGATGATTTGCCGAATCAACCCTGCCAGCCTCCGCGATGTCAGCCTCACTGACACCTGCCTGCTTTGCCAAGAAAATGGATGCCTGCCAGGCCGTCAAAGCCCCCCTACCATTTTCCCTCCTAAAGACCATGTCCTGATTCTTGGAGAAGGAAGTGGCGCCCAGCCAGTGAACCAAGGAACGTGTCTAGGATGAAGCAATTCAGATCTTCGGGTGTTGTCTTGCGTTCGCCCCTCTTCTCTTACCAATTCATTCGGTGGGTCCTTGCAAAATCAACACCATGTTTAAACAACATCGCAACAAGTCGCCCAGCTTTCACCCGCTTTCCCAAGCTCACTGGCCCGGGATGCACAATAGGGCGACGCATCGGGCGCCTGCAAGACGGAGTCGTCGTCGCCACTGGCAGCGACCTGCGTTGTTTCATTTTCGTTGCCAGGAGATGCGGAAGGACCAGGCCCGCTGGCAACTGATTGGCGCTTAGTTACAGCTCCAACTACTTACTTATAGTGAACATGTGTGTGCGCGCGAACATGATTCTTAAGCTGGCTTGTAACACCACTTCTGCAAGTGAGTTCTAACAGGTTCTATCAACAGGGCCTATCAATGGCCAACGGTCAACCAAGAGCCAAGTTCGCCTCTGCAATTCCCCTCGGCCTTCAGCTCCCGTAGGGAGACCAAGCGTCGCAAGGTGTCCTCGCATCCGCAAGTTCTCTCTCTCTCTCTCTCTCCCCCTCTCTCTCGCCACAACATACGTGTTTGAAAAGGTACCAACCTGAGGACCTTGGTACCTGAGGACCTCATGCAACCTGAGGACCTCATGTGTTGAACGCCCACACTTGCGCGGGCCTGCTCATATCGCCGTGCATGGTGGACTGGCAACTGCTTAGAAACGCCAAGGTTCAATGATGTTCACCAGCACATTGCAGGAACTGTGAATTTTGTTTTGGGGGGTGCTTCCTGATGGGCCTTCTCCAAGGGTTCCCCCCGTGTTCTTTTCCAAACAATCTGAAAAGAACAGCATCTGCCCTTGTCGGGATGGTTATCGGTCCTCTGCTTCTTCCACTGTGCTGTTCATGATGCCAGCATCATGTGCCTCGAAAGGCCGCAACATATGACATATCCGTCCAGCCACTCAAAAATCCCCAATCGCATGCGCTGTTGGGGTGAGCTCACCATCCATCGAGTGAAAAAGCAATGGAAAGCAAATGTTTGCTGGTGAATTTCCACAGAGACGATCGAAAGTTGTCCAAATGGGGTTGAATCCCACAAATCTCTCGACATATTGCATTGGACTCACCAAACATGTGCAATAGTAGCATACACATATATATAGAGAGAATCACGTCAATTCACGAACCACTGCACCCCGCTTCGTGGACAGTTCCTTACCACCACACCGATGGAGAACGGAGGCATGTGCACCCACGAAGGAGGCCGGTTTTCTGCCTGAAGGAGGGCGGCTTCTAAAGCTTCCTCCTCTGCCTTGCTGATCGCTTCTGACAAGGCCCGTGCCTCCGGTGCCAGCGCGAAACCACCAACGCTGACTATATACAGCTGAGGCAGCCAAAGGCTGATTAGACTGGAGAAACCTCCAAACTGTGATTAGCCTGGAACCTTGTATCTTTCACCATCTTACACACTGGCACAACATGGCATAACTGTATTGTACACCTACAATGCGTGATGAGTCTGCTTAACGCCATCATGTGCCGAGGTGCCGCATCCAAGGCTTTCCGCTTGGCCGTGGCCGCATCTGTGCCGCCGCCTTTGGCGGCCACCTGAGGCCGCTGGTGCATGCGCTGGTGCCGCATCTTGAAGTAGTGAAAATATGGATTCATCTTGCAATAGGTGAAGCTGATAGATGGACACGGTGCCGCATCAAACTTGCCAGAACGGACTGGAATCAAATTGACAACCTTGACACGAGTTCCCAAAGACTTCCAAGAACAGAAAGCGTCGCATCCCAAATCCCAAAACGACCTCTCCAATAGAATTGGCATCTCCGGGCCAATCTCAAGAGCCTTTTCCCCGGCCCAGATTGGGCTCGAAGAAATCGGAGTGCTGCGCTGCCAGGCGCTCTGGGAGTTTCCACTTTTCACTGGGGCTGCCGTATCGCTGTGAGTCGACCTCCCTGGAGCCCGTTTGACCCTTGGTAGCTTGACCTCCCTCGTAGATCTCGTAGTCTAGTCAACCAATTTCCACGGTTTTGACCTACAGCCATATCATCTGGGTGAGTCCCTTGCAAATGAGAAAATGGACCCCTGTAAGATCATGTAAGAGTATTCTCATGTTGATCATGGTGCACTCTGACTCGCTAACAAGGCAATGGAAAGAATAACCAAAAAGGAAGGTAGTCTTTCAAATGCCCATTTGCCACTTCCATGTTAGTCACTCAGAGTGTAATCTACAGGATGGTTCGGTTGACATTGTTTCACCATCTCTCAGGTCGGCACCGAGACGTTTCTGTGTTGTTCATGACATGTTGGTGACCAATCACTCAGTAGAAGGCACCACTGGCCATGCCCATCAACCTGCTGCATTTCTCCTGTCCAGGAGGCCTCTGCCCTTTCATTCCGGAACCCGAGCTGAGTTCCCCAGCGGAGACGCGGGGCAATTTTGCCTCAGTGCTGAAGTTCCTATCAAGCTCCCATGATGCATCCTTCACATTGAGGATCCCGAGCTTTGGGATCCATGACTTCATCCACCGCCCAAGCTTTCTGGGTAGCTCGCAGCTTCTTGGCTGTCTCAAATGGTCTCAATATCATTGAACATGAACACGAACAACTATATACCCCAAAAACTGACATAATAAATCAACACAAACAACTAACCATGGCCAAAAACCTCATCGACATATAGCATAATCACGGAAATAATATTAGATTATTAGATAAGATATGATATATATATATAATATATATATATAGGATTGTTTGGGGTTTGTTATGTTTCATTCCTTGTTCAAACACTTTTTGCCTCACACTCCTGGTTTTAGTCGATCCAGCCACCCGCCGAGCTCACTCGTCCCAGCCACTGCCGCCGGCCGATTCCGCGCGAACTCGTCGCGGAGCATGGTGACCTGCACGGGCCCCTTGCGGCCTTGCGGGAAGTGGAGTACTATATTACCCGAAATGTCAAGAAACAAAGAAGTAGAGAAGAGACCTGTATATATAGAGAGAGAGAGATTGAATTAGATTGATATAGATTGTGAATAGTACAGGATAATATACAGTAACAGTACTGTATAATTATGGGTAGATCAGTCAGGAAGCCTCTTCCAAGAGGTCAGGCCGTGTAGCTTGATAGTCTTGAATTCAAGAAACTGCTGAAGGACAATTCTACCTGGGGTGAGTGTATCGTTTATGCTTATCCTGGGAGAAATATGCCCCAAGTTCCACAAAGATCTCCCCATCCGTTCTTTTTTGTACTATTCATGATTTCTTTCGCTCGCTTCGAAAGAGCCAATCTTCAATCAAGACAAAGTCCAAATCCTCAAGCTCATCTAGCATCTTGAGGCATTCCTTCACTGTGTTGACAATGGGTTTGCCCTTGGAGTTGAAGCTGGTATTGATCAGTGCCGCCAAACCAATCCTCTTCCCCACGGCCAGCAGCAAACTGTGAATCCAGGGCTCCTCCTCCGCACTAACGGACTGATGTCGTGCCGTGCCGTCCACGTGCGCCAGTCCAGGAAAGTGCTCTCGGACATGAGGCCGCACCAAAGGAGCCATCGTCATGAAGGGACTTTTGATCTCTTGGCCGAAGACCTCCTGAGAACGAACGGGTGAACTATGCCAAACAATATGTTGTGGCAGTTGTGGCAGATGATCCTCCAGCAAACAGCTTTACAGTAAGATCCTTTACAGTAAGTTATTCATGCAACAAAAAACCGTGAGGGCGCAAACGAAGTCCAACAAATGTCCGCTGGAGGGTACTATAGCTGCTATGGGGTATTGTGTTAGATTGTCTTGGCATGTGTGATTCTTCTCATTTCATGCCAGGTCCTCCAAAGCTTCATCTGCAATCATCGGTGCTACGGGTCGATAGAACTGCCTGGCTTTCAGCGTGTTCATGCGATCCCGGATGCTCTGAGAATTGGGCGCTGCCAGTAAGGAACGATGTCCCAAGGCTCTGGGCCCGAACTCTTGCCTCCCCAAAACCACCGCAATGATGGGTTTATCACGGCCCTCCTGGCCCTGAGAGCGGCTTTGGTTTTGCCACGCCGGGCCGCCGGCCAAGAGGTCGGCCAAATAGTCCACACCTCCCAGCTCCGAGAGGCGCTCGGCCTGTCGACGGGTGGCCGTGGAGTCCAAGGTGTCGAGGTCAAAGAGACGAAAGCCCAGGTACTGCAAAGGCTGTGGCGACAAAGGGGGCACCACTGACCAAAGGGCACCCACCACAATGCCACCGTCATTGCTTGCAGGTGGCATGTAGACCGAACTTGGGAGGCTCAGATCGAGCTGGTGTGTTTGGGTGAATGTGTCATAAATCAGCTGGTTGGCTAGCACGTTCAAAGCACAGCCTCCTGTAAGGACAATGCCTTCCACGGCCTGTCCCAGGAGACCCATTGAGCCGTAGAGGGCCTTGCCGAAATATTCTTTCACCAAGTCCGTCCACTCTGCCTGCGCGGAAGCGGCCAAAACTCTCTGGCTCTCAGTGCCTTCGCATGCGAAGTGACGGAGCCAAGCAAAAGCCTCGTCTGCAGCCGTTTGGTTCTGAAGGTAGTTGCGCACAAATTGGCTCGCCCAATGGCTGCTTTGTGGGTCGCTTTTCCCCAGCGCCGAATATCCCATAAACTTTCCGGCATAGCTTAGCATCACTCGACTCACGTCATGCACGGTGTGCGGAACTCCATGCATTGCTGCCACCATTTTCGGGAGGTTGAGTGGTGTGATCTCCTCGCTTCCGCAAACGACCTCGGAGTAGTGCTTTGCTCCGGTGACCTCTGGGAGTAAAACAGCCAGCTGATTGTATGCCATCCCCATATTCGTTGGTATTTTCGCAACCAATTTGACGTCATATCCAAGGCCAACGTAAAAATTGAAGAAACCATCATTTCCACCGGCATCGTAAGACATAATAAAGGCTGAACGGAAGGTCGAAGCATAGTAGCCCAGCAGGGCATGGGCACGGTGATGGTTCACCAAACGCCACTTTGTGGCCCCAATGACTGGCTCCACTGCACGTTTCAGCATTTGGAATTCATGATGCTCAAAATTCTCCAAGACTGCATAGTGAAAACTTCCAGGACACTTCTCCTCAGCATCGCACTCGCAACCGCTCAGAACGGCGTCCAGTGCGAACAACCAAGCTTGGGCAAAATCTGCTTCACTCATGTCCAGAGTCATGCCGCCCCCTAAGGAGTAGTACCGCACCTCAAACAAACGTTCCAACTCAAGCACGCACTGCACCCGACCTGCCACCCCAATGGCAATACTGGCATCATGTCCTGCATGGAAAGCAATGACTGCAGGGCGACTGATTGGAGGCTCATGGTCCTGCGACAAGAACTTGGCCAGATCATCGGACATTGAAGCGCTCTCCGAATCGCCCGGGTGAAATAGAAGCCCTTTCTGTGGGGCCCAGAGTCTGGGTATGCCATTCTCATCCACTGTGTAATCGTACTGTGCTGAGGAATTTAGCACCAGGAGCACGAATAGAAAAAGAACCCTGCCAAGTCCATGACAGAGACTCTCCATGGCAGTTGCCAAGGCTTTTGTATTGTAAGGAGTGTGGTGGCTCATTCATATGGGGAGAGATTTGATCTGCACTCATCAAGAAATCTTAGTGCGTTACGGTTAGTTGCAGACTCACGGTTAGTTGCAGACTCAGAAGGCTGAGCGCCTGCGCCTCAAAGTCCTCTCATTTTCCAGCATGCATTGAGTTATCTTGTGAGTCTACGACTGCAATAAGCAATGGTAATCATCAATAATCACAACCATAGCCGTAAGGAGGGTGTTAATAAGGAGTCAGGAGGGTGTTGCCTGTTGTCAATCTCCACACACTGAAAGAAACTCCAGCCGGGCTGGGCTTGATCTGATAACACCTTCTGGACGACATATGCCGCCCCCCCGCCAAATGCATGGACATCGCTGCAGCTTTGAGATGCTGCTTGGGGGGAAGACCTTTAAGATTAGAGTCAGCTGTATGCACGCAGTCACTGGCAAAGCCTGTGAGTTTCACACAAGATTCGCATGCGATTTCGTAGATGGCCTGCTTCTCAATCTCAGGTGGGAGTGCAGTAAGTCCACCACCTGTCATGAAAAACAATGAGAACGATTGACGACGAGAAGTCGCGATTGGTTTGCTTTGTCCGCGGGCAATCTTCTGGCGTTCGCATCATGAAGACAAGTTTTCACAGTCTGCTGGTGGTGGTGGTGGTGGTTTCTGTGGTTGCTGCTGTCGTTGTTGCTGCTGCCACCGCTGCCACCGTTGTTGTCGTTGTTCAAAACCTTTGCACAAATAGGAAAGGCCTGCATGCTGACCCAGCCTTGGCTGTGACCAAACTCAAGCATCCTCAGACCATGACTTGCATTGATTAACCTCAAACTAACCAGCTTGTGACTAATTACCTCTACAAGAATACGGCGCCGCTTACCGCTGTATCTAACTTTGAACGGTCTCTCTAGGTCCCCTCCCCATACGGACAATTCTGCCGGGGCCACGATTTTGCCTCTCAAAGGCTTTGACCTGTTGCTGGCACACGAAAGTTCCGATGAAGTTGACGTCATCTGTTTCCCAGCGTGCTGTTGAAGACATCCTGAAAGAGATTCTTCAAGTGATAAGTCAAGAAGCAAAAGTTGAATCATCAATTCTATCACTGGGTTACTTACAAAGTTGCCGGGATCCTTGTTTGGCTCGATCACACCAACAACGAGTGACCCTCCTCACCCCTCGACATCTCCATGACAGAAGGCCCCGACCTCTGCTACAATGGCCGGATGAAATCCTATCCAATCCCTGGGCGCGCACGGCAAATGCACACGTCCCGTGCCAAAGTGACTGAGAACCTAACCAGTGCCCGCAAGGACCTCCCACCCATGATGGACGGCCAAAAAAATAGCGAGAACAAGAGCTTGGAAGTCCTAGGTCCTATGCATCACAATACATCCTATTATATACATGACTACTGACTACTGTAGTGCTACAGTAGGAATTCATCCCCATCCCTTCAACCGCTTTGGTTGGGACATCAAAACGGACACCTGATGCATCAAGACGGATGGCCTCACCTCAAGAGAGCGCTTTCAGCCGTGAGCCAGGTGGGCAGGTGGGCCTCAACGCGGTGCCCAAGGTGGTGCCGCCGGGACTCCTCCGGGGGGACACACACCCAGTCAGACTCCATGTATGGCATATATTTACCTACATCGGGCTGGCTTCAGGGTGTGTGTGTATATATATATATATCACACACATATATGTATATACGATGTAAAATATATACATACGATAATATACGCACGTCAGGTCAGTGAACCCTTATATACATATCCCTTACATGGAGTGTCTGGGATGCAGAACCAGGACATGGAGCCGGGGTTCGATGATGCCCCTCGAAACAACACATCTGTCCTTCCATGAAGTTGCAAGCTTTCTGTGGTGGACATGAGAGGGGTTGCCAACTAGTTGGGCCTCACCCCCTGCTTCTAAGGCCTCCACCAAAATCATGCACAGCCTCCGCGACCGAGTCAACGCCTGAGCCACTGTGGTGTGGAAAAGCTGCGGGAAACCACAAAGCATGTTCCCTCCTCTCTCCAAAAAATACTACGTGCAAGTGGGCACATCATATTTCTGTGGAGCTGGCCTCAACGCCATGGGGGCAGCAACAGTGACGCTGTTGTCAGGCTACATGCTACAGCGCTCTTTCCAGAAGGAAAATCACACCCGCCACATGACAGAATCCCTGGCATGGGCATCAACCACCTCCTTCCGCCGATGTTCACGGGCCGATCCCCAGTCCCCTCTGGTCTCCCCGGCCACGTTCAAGCGCCGCCAGTCCGACACGAAGCCCACGTCGCCGCCTCGGTGTAGCCGGGCTCGCCCGGTGGATCCAAAGAGCCTCAAGTTCTGACTGCAAAAACTGAATGCAGACTCTTGATAAATACACCCCCCAATTTGAATTGAACACGCTTCATATGGGGGGTGGTATTGATCAAGAGTTTACATTACAAGTACTAGGGAATACTAGGGAATGAGGGAGTGGATCCAAAGAAATCTCTAGACAGGGGGCGAAGCTTCCCTGATTCCCTACGAGTCGCACCAGTCGGAGTTTGTTTCTGGCATTTCAATACCTCTAAAATCCTCTGACTGAAAAGCTGATGAGAATCCGAACTGGAAGAACATGAGGTGAAATTGACATTTAAAATCCATCAAACTCTTAAATCAAAGGGTCGTCGACAAACGTGAAAAATGGCTCATTCATGTGGCACAACAGCTCGCAGTAATTACCCATCTCCAAAGCTCCATACCAAAGTAATGAGGGGCCCACGAGGATTGGCGCGCACCAGGCTCAAGATGATGACATCCTCAAAAGCTTTGGATGAAGATTCAAGGTCCATAAGCATGGGTCTGATGAACATACGCTGCTAAATCAGAACCTCTGCAAATCTGAAAATGTATTTTAAAAAAACTGCTAGAAGTTCCCCTTTCAAGAAGTCGTTGAGTCAACTTAGATCAATGAACATTGCAATTTGGTTGCAAAAATATGGTAGCAGCACCATTGCAGTTCTCTTCAGGTCAATCCTTCTGACAGCCCTGAAAGGCGTCCACCGAAGAGACTTGGACCTCAGAACTGGCCCAGTGCTTGGTGGGCTCATGACTAGCGCTTTCACCGAACTCACGCCTACCATCCCAGAAGGCCCTTGGACTGCTCTGCATCTGCATGTCTTCCGACTCCGAACATGACCAGGTCGATGAAGCTTGTGTTCACATCCCAGTCATTTGAAAAGGATCGGACCACTGAAAGCAACGAAACAGGTCACTGGCGCTCGGCCAAATGAAGGCCCTGGCTGCATCTCTCGCTTGAGGTGGAAGGGCCTTAGTGGAAGTGGCTAGTTTGATGCAAATAGCTGAAATGGGCATCAACTACTTTGAGGTCTCTGTGGTATCGGAGTGAGGGCGGAAGTTCCAGGTAGCAAGTTTGAAGTACAAATGAAGTAAGTAAGGCATTGGATTCCTGGATGGCATTGGTATCTCAGTATGAATGAGAGAATAGGTGAATAGGCAAAGAATGCCATGGAGCTTCCACAACCCTAAGAATTAATTGGAGTGATGCGCCCACGCAATGTGCACCAACGTGTTGTTCAAGGTGAAAGCATGGGTCATGCAGCTGTGCGACTGCCACAACACGCATGGACATGTAAATTAGCATATATAGATCATCCGCCACTAGGGTAGCCGACCCCACAAAAAGAACCACCAACGATTGCATGCGCAAATCCAATCAACAAATGCACAAGAATTGCAAGCATGGATATAACATAATAAAACTACATAATGATCATAATGATATAACTGTGCGTGACGTGTATGTATTTTTGATTCTGACTTGTCCAAGAATCATATCCCCACCAGGGAACCGAGCGTTTCGGATGTCCGCCACCTGCGCGGACCGTGGGGTATCCTTTCAACAAAGGACGCCGCCGGAGGGGATGGCGCCTCACTTGCGCACGCAACATTATAGCTCACCTGTACACACACGATGTTGATGTTTTGCAAAAAGTAACTCACCTGCGCACACAGGATGAGCTCACCTGTGCACACATCGAATTAAACCAATACAAAACCGTGCCTGGTACCACAAACTCACCTAGCACAGAGATTTAGCTCACCTGCGCACACACAAAGTGAGTTGATGTGACGTGTGCCTGACATGTTGTTAATGCCACTCGTGGCCTCGGAATCCCAACCAATCGATCGCCGGCAGCAAGTAGCATTGCGGGGGAGTGTTCGCTCCCAGTGGTCGTTGACAGTGTCTTGCAAGGCTTTACGAGAACTTGGCTGAATCCGAAGCTAAACCCAAAGGCATCCAAACTCCAAGAAGCAACTATCTAAACATCGATGTAGCCCGGCCAAAAACCACCGGCGGCCATCTCGCCGACCGTGACCTGCCGTAGCCACACACGAACGGCGCCCGAACGGCCGCCGGCCGTTCCAAGGCCTGTGCCGCATAGGGGCTAATCACACCCACCTCGTCGCCCTTCAATCCTTGGCCGAGCTCAGGCCGGATCTTCAGGTGTCACCGGATCTGTCATTGAAAGCACACCAAAAGGCGTGCCGAAGAACCAAGTCTTTGGAAGAATTCTGAAGAACATTTCCTCAACTGGGGTGCTTTGCATCACCCTAGGGACCCCCAAAACATAGACCGTCGTATGTGTCATAGATCTTGCACAACATCCATCATGGTCCATCTCCTCTTCGGCCGTTTCTCCGCATGCTGGGTGCCCGAACTCCCCCACACCTTCACCATCTCCCTCGGACCAAATCAAGCAGAAGGTGTCAGATCGGCGGGGAATTCTCCAAGAACTCACGCCCCGTCCCACCCGCAATAGAAAACGTCCCCAAACCCTGGTGTGCCAAAGGGGACCTTCTTTGGGATGCATCTCATTTCAACTTCCACGTCGACGTCAGTTTGGAGAGCTTAAACTCCTCTTGTCGTTGGTCTCGGGGCACTTTTCTGACCTCAGCTCCCTCTGTGAGCGACCAGCTTTCTGCACACAAACAAGGCAGGCGCAGGCGGGATCACCCCCGTCAGCTGAAAATGGGTGAATTCCTACGTATGATTCCATAGTCGTGGGAGTTATGGTTTCCGAGTTCCAGGAAGGTCCAGGTACTGACTTGAACATACTTGAACTAGAAGACCCAGGCATTTGTTGGCATCAGGTGTACCCTCTCTGGAACTAACATGGAAGTGTTTCAAGCCGCCTGCTTTGGTATGCGGAAAAATGGTCTTCCTCTCGGCCATTTTCCATTCACTTCCATGTTAGTTCCCGGAGGTGTACCCCTCAGTTGAGCCGATCGTTGCCGGTTCTAATCGGCTCGGTTTGCGAGTGAGCTGAGTGCCAACTGAACCAGCCACGCTGCGCCTCAGATTGCTGGGAGTGGCCTGGGAGACCCCAGCAATAGTAACGATATGACGCACAGGCGCAATGAATAATTAAGTATCTTGACCTTTGAGTATATATGTATAAGTATCTTGACCTTTGAGTATATATATGTACATATGCACATGTATGCACATAATCGTCATATGCACATATCCGAAGGCCCTGCCAAGCCATCACCATCAACCTGCACTAAAGTCACTAAAGTATAAATGCGACTTCACACAGCTCCGGAGTGATGTGCTTTGCGGCAGCTGGCTTCTGTCGATTGCTGTCTACTCTTTTTATGGAACTGTCGCTTCCTGCACAATCTTGGAACTATGAGAATCATTGAGAATCCACACTTGTCATTCGATGCAATTATAGTGGATCCCTGTGCATGGTAGTCGGGTTCGGGCAGGAGATTGAGAGTTTCACCATCCAACATTTGGCAGCTTTCGCAATCCTAGGGCGTTGGCAAGCAGCTTCATCCACGTTTCTCTTCGAAGAACCTCGCGATTGCTCTCTGGCCTGGTTCAGAGCGCGAGCTTGATGCCTTCTTCCACTTCACTCAATGCAAACTACTCGATCTTCAATGGCAGCCCCACTACATGGCGGGTACATCCTGCGAATCATAGTGCTAAGATCCATAGCCTAGCATGTGTTCAGGGAACGCGATACAGAAAATGATGCCATCTGCAGTAATATTGCAACAACTATATCTCGTTTATTATTAAAACCAATTCATTTTCATTATATCAATACCTATAGAGATGGGGAAGGCCCTTCGGTTCAGAGATGTCCAAAAAACACAAGATCAACAAGAGATGCTGCTGACAAATGACAAACCCACTGACTCTCAGCTATAGCTATGCGCCCTTTTCATCGAAAAGATCTTCTCTGTGCAGCAGAGATGCTTTGCCGGCACGCCCCGAGCGCGACCGCAGAGGCACTGAAACTAGGGATCCAATGTATTCGATAGATCAAAGGTGTCCCGGGCGGGGTAAAATGATGCGGAAAACAGGGAAAACAGGTTCACGGAGTCAACAGGGTGGCGATTGCGATTGAACTGGGCCCAACATCTAACCCCCATGCGAAAGGAGATCTGAACCCCGATGCGATGCTTAGCGATTCCTGGAGCATCGAGAATCGTCACTTCTCAGGTCTCAAATCGTAATGTAGACTAGCCGGTCTCACAACTAGTGGCAAACGTCCACGTTTCTGGTGCAAGGCTTTGTGAAAGGACACATGAATCCATTCAAGACCCATCCATGCATGGGTCTTCGTGGATCTGTGCTGATCCCTGACTCCACAGGCTTTAAAAAGGTTACAGTATGTTACACTCCCTGAAATCATCATGGAAGTAGAAAATGGCCCCTTGGATGACCTTTCTCCTCTACAAACGGTGGTGAACTCAACTTCCATGTTAGTTCCAGGGAGTGTAATGAGCACTATTCCTATCATCTTAGATGCATTGATCGGATGCTGACAAAGCCATTGTCTTCTTCCCTAGTATGCCCTCGCCAGCTACTCACCCGCCAGCTACTCACCCGCAGGGAGCTAGCGGGTGGAACACGGGTTCACATGAGCGGTCAATTACAGAGGTGAGTTTTGCTGAAAAGCCTGCATCAGGTATTCTAATATGTATTCATATGCCATATACAATAAGCATAAATATGCAATTAATTCTAGCATGCACATATTATATAACATGTATTAATGGCATTTCTTTTGGGACCTCATCAGGCCTCCGCCGGTCCAGGAACCCGGCAAGGGACCGTGGCAGCTCGAACGAGTCTCAAATAGTCTCAAAGTTCTCCGACAAATAATACGAAATGATAAGAATATCAAATACTGTACCAGCCAGACTTTGGGATTCAGTTGGGGGTCCCAACACTGGGGCTTCCAGCCCACCCAAAAGAACGAAAAATCTAATATAATCTATGAATCTGACAACCACATGCTTCTGCCAGGCACGCAGAAGAAGAACTTTGCTCGCGTGCTTAGACTGGCCTTGTGACACCAGACCATGAGTTCCTAAAAACTCTTCAACAAAAACATGTGTTGGTCGTGTTGCAGGGTTGCGCATGTCTCCGGCTGGGCCGCCGCCTTTCCAACCAACCGCCCAGGCCCCAACGGCGGGCCCCGAACCGGGAAATCGGAACCGGACTGCTCGTTCTGCCCACGTCCGACGGGGAAGTCAGTAACGTCTTCCGGAGCGAAGCCGAACTGGAGAACTTCAAAGGGCACACAGGAGGCCAAGTCATCGACACGTGTCATAGTGTCATAACAACGAAAAATCTTCAGATTTGAGACAGATGGAAGGACAATTGTCTATACTCATCTATGATGACATGTTGTGAGGGTGATAATTCGGCCTGGCTGGGAGCACCTATATATCCCCTTGAGGTTCTTTGCTTTCACCCCTTCAAGAGATGATTTAGCTTCGACACCATGTGGAACCGACACCATGGGAGCTTCAGAACATATATAGTGCGCTCGGATGGCCCCGGAAAGAGAATCAAACACTTAAAAAAGTCAACCCGCGGTATCTGATGTAAATGAAAAATACGGTTACTACACTAAGATATGCGGATTTTAAAATAGCCAAACAGGTATTTTAGTGTACCTCCATGAAGGTACATGTAAATGAATGTCCAATGATATGTAACTGTATATAAATGTCCACGATGTTGATTGGAGGGGGCGAAGCATATACCCAAACATACCCGTCACATGAGATGACCCACTTGGTCATCTACATTGGCCTGGCCTGGTGTGGTGGGCATGGACAGGTCATGTTCATCTCAGGACCCGTCGGACACCGCACTTCTGAAGAATTGAGCGACGGCACCCGAAAAGATGTCCTTCTGTGGACTGAGACAGTCATTGACTCAATGAACTTCCTTTTTTCTGGTAGGTTCATCACAAAGTTCGTGGCATTCTCCTTGCTTGGTCGCCGACTTCTGGGGCCCCACTCCAAGCTGATTTCGCTCCGGTGAGTCGACTCCGGGCGACAGCAGGGTGTCCGCTGCGCGCTGAGCCGGCAGCTTGTTCGGCACTTGGGCCACCGGCCCAAAGCAATTTCAGGTGAGATGTGGCACACCGCAGCACTTGCGGCTTGGTGCGGGCGATGGAGCGCCACGCTGGCATAACGAAGGATTGCTCGTGGCAGGGTTACCCGGGGATGGTGAGCTGGGTGATTGCTGCCATCGTCCCTTAAGGGAGTACATGCTCATAAGCCAGGAGATGATCAAACAAATCCAAAAGAAACATGGTCAAACAGTGTGAAACTGCATGCCTCGAACACACGTGAACACTGCGGCCCATCTCCCAGAAAGCCTTGGCCGAAGTCTATGTAACGTGAAACGGGATGCTACGGATGTCCCGTGCGGCGTCCAATCCTCCGGCATTCCAAAGGTGGACGCAGGGCCGGGCCATGGATTCGCTGGAAGGAATGAATCCGTGTTCACCTGAAAAGAGTACTCGGACGTAAGGCCTACAGCATAGGCCTAGTAGCCATGAAAGATTAACAAAAAGACAGAATGACCAAATTTGCTGTCTTAAATTGTTACTAGGAGAATGCTTGTTCGGTAAAAGCCATCAAATCAAGGGTGGTTGGAATCGTAGGTTCTTAGGGTGATGAATGATTGAAGTCCTAGCAGGCACCGACCAAGCTCGTTCTTGAAGAACTTGGCGATGATGACTCCAATCCCACCACTTCCTTCAATTTGACCTGTTCCAGCGGACCCCTTCTTTTTCCGAGAAAAATTGCTTCAAGCGCCACGGGAGGAGTTGACCTTGTTCACCGAAGTGGAGCTGTTCTCACGCCTCGGAAGCGGTCTCCGGCTCTTTCCCCGGTCACGAGTGGTGAACGAGCTGCCCCCAGGGGGCACGCGCGGGAGGACTGATGCATCCTTCTCCCCAAGATCTCCAGGACTCCAGATTGTCACATACCCCCCACGCAACCGCCCTCCAGAAGGATTTTGGGTGCTTAGAAGAAGCCCCATCATCTGTGAACAACGGGGGAGGGTCGGTTTCTCCAAACGGCGGGAAGGTCACAAGGCTTGGGGGCAAGCTGTGTGATTGATGTAGAGGAGTCTGAAGTGATGAATGTGTGAGTTCCTGCAATCATTCTGAAAGCAGTCAGGTGGGGAAGAAGCCCCACAGTGAAAAGCATGGTTTTTTAGTCAAGTGATCGTTGGCATGCCTCTTCATTGCGTTCAATCAGGGCTCTAGTCCATCCCCACCAGTCAGAATGTGTGCAGGATTTTGCAAGACAAATTGAGTGGGTCACTGCATACGAAAAAACGCCGAACTCACGACCCACCACTCGCGCTGGACAAAAGCGACCGAAATCGGCCGTCCAAGAGGCATCAAGACCTTTCGGAGGCCAAAATCCCATTCTCCAGCCTGCACCCGGAAAACGCTCACTGAAACAAAGCCCCCAGGTGCAGCCTTGGCAGAACTGTTTGGGATGCCCAATCATCTGTGATCCTCCCCAGTGTTTCCAGTTTCGCACTTTCGCAGAAAATGCTTCACTACCCAGCCTCTGTCTGCCCTTGCTCAGATGTCATGTATCCCCAACCTTGGGAGACGTCTGCGGACCGGACACGCACAAACGTCAAGAATCGCATGGAGCTGTGAAAGGTCTTCTCTGGAAATGCTCTTCTAGAAGGTCTGCCAGGGGATCTGCCTTGTGACGGGCTAGGTGCAAAACTACTTGTTGCTTGTATCCCATACCCCGATACCACGACGCATACAGAATCGTTGCCTCACTTCGGTCAACTCGTTGGACCTTCTGCATTCTGCATCAACATAACCAAAAGCATGGCCGACCCCTTTTGCGCGTCAAAGACTAAACTATTTAAACATGCCGCTTTGGTCATGATTTGTTTAACAAAATGCTGGCTATGACATACGGCTATGACGTCACAGAGTAGTAAGCCCTATGCCTCACCTGAAATGACATGTCCTTCAGCAGAACGTAAATCAGTACCAGTCTAATCTGTATACGTGTATATAAGGTCTGTAGGGGCCACGCCGTTTTGCTTTCCACCCTTCCATTGTCCTTCGAAGCATTGGCCGCTCGGCCACCTGAATCTTCCACAGCCCTCCTGAGCAAGACGATGGCGAACAAATGCTGAGGTGTTCCAGTGGATTCCGCTTGACCTCCTTTACACTCCCGAAAACTCACATGGACCCTGAGAATGGCACCCTCCAAGACTGTTTTCCTCTACAAACCCGTGGTTTTCGGGGTCTATATATGTGAGTTTTCAGTGGAGTATTTTTTGCACATCACCTCTCCAATCTCGTCACCCTTTCGCAAACGAATTTGCACAAAGCCTGTGGCCCCCTTTTCTTCTCCTGTCCGCTAACAATTCCACAACCTCCAGGTCTAATTATCCTCATGTCATCCTCATGTCCCTTCCATGTGAGGATCAATGCCGCATGGTGGAAATTATATTTCATGGGCATTGAGTAGACTACAGTATTTAAAACAGTGAGATCGGGAATGGCTGCTTCTGATAACAGTGGTATTGTACTTCCAGATCTTCCAGGACAAATGAGGCTAGGGCAGGCTAGTCTGCCACGGGGCCATGGCCCCCCCTCCGTCTAGTCAAGTCGAATCTATTCGAGCATGTCTGCTTTCCTTCACCAGTGCTTCAGTAGTTCTTGAATCTGCGAAACAGCTTCCGGGTATCGGGTGTAATTAATGGACAACACCGGCCCCCTTGCGCGGTGGCCGCAAGAAGCACGCCAGTGGAATCGTCCTTATGATCTTGCACATAGCCACCTTCGTAGACTTTGCCATCGGGCCATGCGAACCTGGTTCGCTTCGAGCCGAAGGTCATGGGCCCGCAGGGAGCCGAAGGTCATTCGCATCCAGGAGCGGTGTTGGAGGACATGGGACCCGACCATCATCCGGTGAGGACAGGAACACTGATAGCCACGAAACATCAGGTGCTGGGGCCGAACAAATTCTGAATGCCGCCGGCTGGGCAAACATGGGTCGTCAGAATGAAAGAAGCGTCATCCTAGGAGAAAGAAGCACACTCTAAAGCAAACTCCAAGCTGTTTGTGCGAAAAACTGTTCATGAACCACATGAATCCTAATCAGTTCTTTTTTTCAGAGAGTCAAGCTTGGCGGCTGCAGGAGCCATGATATTGGATGTGGAGTCCGTTTCACCGTTGGTGTCCCGGCCCACGCCATCGGAATCTCTGGACAGCTAGGGTGCAACTGAAAACTTGTAGGTCAAAACCTCGGGCTGGTTGACCGCTCCAAAATGAAGAGTCTGACTACCCGGCATGTGTATTCTTTTTTCAGTGTTCGACGTTTTGGGGGGGGGCTTGTGTTGACCCCACACACCAAAATCACTTCAACCTTCTTGATTCTCCATGATTATATGATTCTAATTCCCCGATGTTTCCCCTTTGATCGGCCCACCGGAAGGGACGGTCAACTCCGGCCTGCCATGTCCATGCATGCTATTGGCCGCCCATTCTCCCACATACCTCAGGCGACACCGAGCACGGGCCACCTCGAACTGGGCACCGAACGGCCACGCCGAACGGCCGCGTTGGGTGCTTCTGAGCGCCCCCACTTCCGCCCGTCTCCTGAGGCGACCGAGTGGGGGGAGACTCGGACCTGGTCGTGCTTCCTTTATGGAGTATAACCAATGGACAAACCTATAAAGGCCCTACATGGCCCTACACTGCTTCTAGGTCACCGTGGGACACCCAAACCCATGGGAAGCACTGACCTTTTTTCGGCCGTGGGTAGCCACAACAGCTTTGTACCAAGCTGCTTGCAGCTCGAGTCCCAAGGGTAGAAAGGATGGAGCCTGGAGAAAAGTACTGCCATAGGACTGCCAACCTCGCAAATGTCTGCAGCCAAGGCTCCCCAAACGTACCTGGTCGGCGCAGGAAGGCTGAACACGCAGACTGATGTGATGCATACCCCGCAAGAGCTACCATAGCGCATGCTCACTCGCATGCTCGTAGATGAAGACAGAAATCTCACGAATCTTAACATTGAACATGTTGTCACACCCAGATTGCCACATAGACTTCTCATTCCATGTTCTCCCTCAATGGCAGTGACTTGAGGGAGAAGCCCCCACTATGGCTCGGCGCCTCAAACCCAACAGCTCCACTCAGGCAAAGGCCGCAAGGGTCGTCTCGCAGCCCGACGGGTCCCATGCGACCAGGTCACATGCCGTGCCCAGCGATGTCATTGTCCTTGAAGTCGCCGAAGTAGGTGGACTCGTCCACCCAGGTGAAGCACCCCTGGCGATGGCGAAGGGGTGCTTGGCAACTCAAGCCATCTGGTGAATACTGAATACTCAAGCCATGTCAACATGTCCCTCAAAATTGATCCTGCGATCTGCTGACATCTCCTGAAGCTTTATTCAACTTCATGTCTTCTCTTTGCCTTTTGAGATCCTTATCCCGACATGGACCCCACGCAAACACCGCCCCGACATGGACCCCAAGTGCACCCAGCCTTGCCAGCCTTGAGACCGTTCTCGTACAGCCCTGCCGATGGGGGGAGCTGAAGGTGACCTTCCCTCTGGTGACCTGAATGGACCTGAATGGACCTGAATGGACCTGGTCTAAAGTGGTCATACCATGGTCTAAATTAAAAACGTCGGAAAGAATCAAGTGCCTTCCTGGCGTGAACTCCACGGCCCACAGTTTGTGGTGGTCCCCGAAATGAGGCAGGAGGCACATAGAATATGGCACTGGCAACAATGATGAGCTCCTTTTACAAAAATGCCTAGCGGGTGTCAACAATTTCCTCAACTTCTGACTGACCCAACCAGAGAATCGCAGCACACCATTGTTCTCTTTCCCCTTCATGGAACTCATCCACAATCCAGCTGGGGGTTCACAGGTGAGCAGGGGACACCATCCGGCCTAAGTATTTGGCGCCATCCGGCCACGTCTCGATGCCATAACCGTGCTGCGCATCCTCCTGGCGGACACTGCTCACGACTCGGCGGGAAGGGAGAGACCGTCAGATCGAAATGCGCTTCTAGTTGACCGTGCTGCCAGGCTTGGTATGTGCCACTCTCCTGAACTCTATGGATGACTGAGATCACTCCTTCCATTGGCCAACATAGGTGGAGCCGTTGCCGTGCCTCAGCATTCAGAAAGATTCAGAAGTTGGTGCACCTTGGTCTGACACAAAAGGTTTGGTCTGAGAACACCAATTCAATCTGTAACGAAAAACAGTACAAAGTAACGGAATGAGAAAGATCAATTGGAAACAGCAGGTGGGAAAGTACCAACGACGTAATATATATATATATTACATAGAACTATACCAGTTGGCCACTATAAATCCATATGAATCCCTATCAAAAAATGGATATACAAAGGCGAATGGAACCAACCGAAATCTCCTACACTCTTGCCACATGCCTCCCCAACCCAGCATGTCATTGAGGACAAGTTGCGTATATTTGCCAAGGCCCTCTGCTTTGTCGTTCTTCCATTGGCCCTCGTAAACCTGAGGCGCCAAGGGGCCAAGGACCCAATCTTCGGGTTTCACATTATGGACTTGGTCAACTTTGCAACTCTTCGCCCAAAGATTGAGAGATTTGGAGAGGCTATCGCCCCCGCTTTGGCATGCAAAAAGTACAGAAAATCCTAATTGCAATTGAGCTGACCGGAAAAGTGGCCTTTGGCAACTTCTGCAGTCAAAGCAAGCCACAAGGTGGCCAGTCTATATCAAGACAGGGTCTCAGGACTGTTTAATGACGTGGCTTCTCTCGTGGCCTTTCTGATGATGAACATCCTTCCATGTGACGTGGGCTCTTCAACAGCCAGGGTGTCTGGCATCCAACATGGTCCAATGCGTCGCAACAACATGATCTGCTGTTGCCGAGGCACATCGCCGTCCCCATGCTGGAAGCGCCCCATGCCGTTCGCCATGTCATGGCACCATTGGCCCTCATAGCGAGCTCCGTCTGGCCACACCTGCCGGATATCGGCGCAGGCGACTGCCTTCGCACGAATGCGCACTTCAGCATACACGAATATCTCGAAGTCACAGTTCCATCCATTCGTGCTCGAAGCAAATAGACCCGACAGCACAAAGTATGAATAGAACCGAGCGGACGGCAAAAGGTTGCAAAAAAAAGGAAACCGGTGAAGCTGCACCCACCGTGACCTCACATGGATCGCATGTTGCGCAAGCCAATGGGCCAAGGCGGCCTATTTGGGCATCCAAAAAACTGCTATCTTGATCACTGAACATTGGGACGTCACACTTGGTAGGCCGTGCGTCTTGGTGGCCATGTTTCAATCCATCGGAACCAACGTGTTGAATGTCAAAGCTCACAAGTTTTTGCTCTGCAACAACCTCATCACGTGGTGCTAAAAAACAGTGAGCCGGTGGGCCTCTGTTGAGAAAACCTGCTCGCCCACTCCAATTTCCTAGGGTCTCAGCGAGCCTGCTTCCCATATCCATGCCGAACAAGACCTGCACGGAGCAATTTTTGCGCACATCATTGCGGGAAGCGGCACCCAAAAATTGAATTAATGCCAAGCGACTTGACATGCGCCTCCACAAGATCAACTCATCACGATGTCAGCAAAAAAAATCCGAGCCGTCTAGTGCAACCATGCATACATGCATGCATGCATGCATGCATACCACAACATAACATAATTTTACATAACATAACACACCACACATATAATATATATATATACTTTTTACATTACGTTACATTACATTACTAAAGTACATACATACATACATACATTACATACATACTTAACTTTACATTACATTACGATACATCCATGCATCCATGCAAGCATGCATACCGTACCACACCACACCACACCATACTATACATTACATTACGTTACATTACATTAAATACATTAATACATGGGGGTTGCGTTCAAGGGGGCCCACGTCAAGACCCCCAGGAATATTTTTAAATTATTCTGGGGGGGTGTGAGGGGGGTTGGTGATATTGATTCTGACCGTCATCCACGGTCAGAATCATTTCCTGAAATCTGCTGACATTTCCTGACATCTGAACTCTGTACCCAAAGTATTATTGGTATTATTACGTTTAGGTATTATTATGTATTATTGTCGGTGTCCAATGTTTTCCCACTGGGTGTCTAAGAATGTGGTGAGTTATGTGATCTTATATGGAAATGACTGGTGTGGAAATGATTCCAGGGGGGGGTTGACATCAGAATTGGGGTGTTGTTTTTGATGCTTTGAGG